CCCCAAACCCCCAAAACCCCAAAACCCCAAAACCCCAAACTGATACTTAAATTGAACTTAATAATAATTTTTCAGATATTTTAATAATTAAGATGATGCCATCAAGTAACAAACAATCACAGAATGTTGTCAGTCCCGTACTTGTAGCTACTGCTGAACAAGCCATCGAAGTAATTGATGCGATCAAAGCTTACTCCAAAGAGAACCCTACTGAAGAGGTTGTATTAGGAATGGATTGTGAGGGTATCCAAAAAGATAAACCATTAGCTCTCTTTCAGGTAAGTCCACCAATCAAACCCTTATTGCCAGATCTGATATATTCTATAGATGTTTCTGAACGGAAGCACATATATTTTCGATGTGATCGCCCACAACCCCTTCGAGTTGGGCTTAAAGGAGGTAAAACCACCAATATTACTCAAACTTTGCTAACTATTTCCTATAGATTCTTGAAAGTGATAATTATATAAAAGTTTTCCATGATTTTTGAGAAGATTCTGCCGCTCTCTTCAGACATTTTCAGGTTTCCCCAACTAAGATCTTTGATACCCAGATTGCTCACAGAGTGAAGAGAGAACTAGAGGAGACAGTTACTTATCAAGACAACAATATTTCATTAAATAATCTACTCAAAACTTATATGAGAGTTGAGAATACAATGAAGACTAAGGTGAATTCTTGAATGACTAGCGACCCGGAATTTTGGTACCAAAGGCCTATGACTCATGAAATGCTCGAGTATGCCTCCCAAGATGTTATTTACCTTCCTGAGATGTATAGGATATTTATTAAGAGCCTGAGGACAGCAACGGTAGCTGAGATTTTCCAAAAATCTTCGGAATATCTTTTCTACAGTCTTCTAAATAGCCATACAAAGGATTTCACCTGATTATCAGAAGGAGATATGGTAGGGGCCTATATTAAGTAAGTTGTTTCATGCTATCTATCTAGGAACTACTATGGAAAGGTTATCTTCTGAAGCCTCAACCTCGGATGCTCGGGCATCATCAGGGATGAAGTCTCTTGAGAATTCATCCACAAGCATTTTAACATGGGAGACCTGATAAATTTGGAAGTTAGCAGGTAAGCCAATACCAATTTTATTTTAAGTTCTAATTTAAATCTGAGAAATTATGTCACAGGGAGCTTGGAAATATTCAAATCTTGCCGATCTAATTCTTCTGTATAGCATTGATTATGAAAAGAAGTTTGTCACCCTTGTTGTACCCGATAACCTTCTCTTTATGGAAGAGAGTACGGTCAAGGGGTATTACAAATTGGCTAAAATGAGCCAAGAATCCAAAGTTAAGAAGATGGTGGAGGCGCTTAATAAGAAATCTACCAAGAAACCAAGAAAGACTTCAATGAGTTTAACCTCTAAGAAATTTTTCCCAAAGATTAAGAGGTGAGACTCAGAAGTTAAGTCAAAATCAGGATCTTTCGACGAAACTACTACTACTTCTAACTCTGAGATAAGTTGTAGCGCCTAAACGTGAATCAATCAAAAGAATGAATTTATTTAATTCTTTAATTATTTAATTTTGGAATATCTATTTTAACTAAAAAGTAAGGGGTTTTGGGGTTTTGGGGTTTTGGGGTTTTGGGGTTTTGGGG